AAAAGTTAACGATACCAGATTTGTGGATAATTCTTTTTTTTTTTTTTCAATTTCTCTGATATGTCCTTTAGAGAATCATGATGTTCATTATGCTATTCTAAACAATTATTTTTTTTTATGTTTTATATCCTGAATTGGTCCATTTATCGTAGAATGACTGATTATCGGACCAATCAATTGTAACGTTTACTTATCCTTAAGCCAATTTGAAGACTATTTCACGGGATTTTTGGAAAAAAGCAGTATTTTTGAACATGTTCAGTGCTCTGTTACTAACTTCAGCAATAATGTAGAAAAATGACAGTGACCGTGTTTAAAAGTTGAAAAAGTTTGATGTCAATATCAGCATGAGGGGGTCTGAATCCACAAAACATTAAGATTCTTTAAGGACCCTCTATACACCAGTGCAAAATGTTTTTTGGACATTGTGAAAATTATATTGAGTAAAGGTGTAAATATTGAGTTTTTCTATTTAATTTCCAACATATGGAACGTGGCATTTACCTCCAGGAAAAATGTTCAAAGACAACCAAGTATCAATGAACAGAAATTAGTGGCGAAAATAAATGCAAATAAAGTGTTCAATTAATTTTTCTTGGCCTTTTTAAAATGTTAAGAATACTTAACTGAAAAAAAGTAATATATTGTAAATTTCAATTTATTGGAATTGAGTACCAAAAGCAGATCACTCTATCTGCAGAAAAATACAATAGAATCAGAACTCTTTAGTGCGCAGTGTGGAGAGGGTTCTTAATATCAATATGATTTACATGGCCTTGCTATTCTTAAAAATATTTTTCCAAGGTCAAGGTCAAAGGATCAAAGTTGTTGGTATCCTAAGGAAGGTCTTGTTACAAGGATTACACATGTGAAGTATGAAAGCCTTAGCACCAATTGTTCAAAAGTTATGGCCAAGGTTAAAGTTGGGGAAAATTTTGCAAAACTCAAGGTCAAAAGGTCAAATATGGTGGTACCCAAAGAAAGGTCTTGTCACAAGGAATACACATGTGAAATATGAAAGCCATAGCTCCAAACAATCAAAAGTTATGGGCAATGTTAAAGTTTTTGCGGACAAACAGACAGACGGACGGACAGGGCAAAAACTATATACCCCCGAATCTTCGATACGGGGGCATAAAATAATTATCATTTACCGGTACTATGAATGTTGGCCGCTTTGGCAATAAAATCGTAAAATAGATTTCTGATAAGTTCTCTGCATGTTTTTATCTGTTACAGAGCTCATTTTTATACAACTGGAAATTTTCACGGTAGTGATGCTGTCTAAAATTCTACATTTAAAAAAAATATAACTTATTCTACAGGAAAATTTGTTTTAGAAACTATACATTTATGAAAACAAAGGCCTTTGGGCCACAATGCTTACATGAGTCACCTTGGTTCTGCTGATCATCAGAGGAAAAATTTTCCGTCTTTATTCCAACGAAAAAACAAGATGTGTTTGTGAAACACTGATGCCCCAGTATGGCAACTTATAGCAAAGATTAAACTTTCTCAAATGCAAATCAAATATGTTGGTACCCAAAGTAAGGTCTTGTCTCGAGGTATATACCTGTGAAAAATGAAAGCCCTAGCAGCAACCATTGAATAGATATGGAAAAGGTTAAAGTAATTCAAACATCAAGGTCAAATGGTCAAAATTAATAGTGCCTAAGGAAACGCCTTCTCACAAGAAATATACAGGTGAAATATGAAAGCTGAAGCATCAATCGTTCAAAAGTTATGACCAAGGTTAAAGTGTTTCAAAAGTAGGTCAAACTCCAAGGTCTAGGTCAATGGAATACAATTGTCGTTATCCAAAGGAAGGTCTTGTCACAAGGAATAAACATGTTAAATATGAAAGCCCTAGTAACAACTTTTCAAAAGTTGTATCCAAGGTTAAAGTTTTCGAAAAGTAAGTCAGAGTCCAAGGTCAGGTCAAAGGGTCAAAATTGTTGGTATCCAAAGTCTTATGTGAAGTATGAAAGCCTTAGCACCAACCGTTCAAAAGTTATGGCCAATGTTAAAGTTTTCCAAAAGTAAGTCAAACTCCAAGGTCAAAAGGTCAAATATGGTGGTACCCAAAGAAAGATCTTGTCACAAGAAATACACATGTGAAGTATGAAAGCCCTAGTACCAATTGTTCAAAAGTTATGGCCAAGGTTAAAGTTGGGAAAAATTTTGCAAAACTGGGTCAAACTCCAAGGTTAAGGTCAAAAGGTCAAATATGGTGGTACCAAAAGAAAGGTCTTGTCACAAGGAATACACATGTGAAATATGAAAGCCAGAGCTCCAACCAATCAAAAGTTATGGGCAATGTTAAAGTTTTTGCGGACAAACAGACAAACAGACAGACGGACGGACAGGGCAAAAACTATATACCCCCGAATCTTCGATACGGGGGCAAAAAAATTGATTCCAAATTGTATTTAATGTTGTCTTTTGTAAAGACTAAATAAAATTTATAAAGCAGCTGAAAATCTTAATTTTTCAAATTATACTGTAGTTAATACGGCAACCCAGGAACACAGCAACCAAATTTTATTTTGAGTGCGTTTCATTAACGAGTAAAGTTTCATCAAATCGGTGACCAAGTGAATCACAAACGTCTTTGTAGTTCTTACTCACTTGAATTTGAATTACTGACTTTTTTAATTTTACATATATTATTTAATTTCTGAAGTTTATCAATTTTAATAAAATACATCTACGTAATGGCCTCAATAATTTAACTTCCTCATGTATGAATTTTCTTTTGAAATTATAGTTTTCACTTTGAAGGAAATATTTATGAAATGACTGGACATCTTTTGGCAGGACCTATACGTTTCACTCAGATGACATGCGTCTCGAAGATTGGGAAGGGGGCTTAGTATTTCAGAATTTGCCTACCGTTACAGTCAAGTTTAAATGTATTGAATTTTTTTGAGTTTTAATTAAAACATTAAACATTAAAAAGCGAAAAGATACTTTTCCACTTGGAATTTTCTGTATGTAAATAAAATTTGCTTAAAATTTACTTAGGCCTTACGTTGGCCATTCCCACTACGAAAATTCCACTTTAATAATTGCCCTCCTCCAGACCTCCAATCAAATGACAGCTAAGCGTCTGACATACTAGGCTCCGGGGCCATAAAACTTCGTTGAGCTCACTTTTGATCTCAGTCTCACTTTTCCACTATATATTCCTTTTGTAAAAATGAGACTGAGATCAATAGTGAGCTTGTCTAAGTCTAAGCCCCGGAGCCAGATGACGGCTGAATTATATTTATAGAATAACACCAGTCTTATAGATGGACATTAATAAGGGCAGATGAAATCTGTGATATGTTGAGACAAAACACGTGAAGTTGTGCTTGGAGAAAAAAAATACCGATGAGGATGGGGTACAAGACAAAAATCCTTTAGATTTCAAAATTCAGAAGATTGTGGAGAACAAGAATAGGATTCCCCCCCCCCCTAAAAATCCCCTGGACGTTGACTCTAGAGAGGAATTATCTTCGGAAATTGCAACCTAGAGTCAGTTTTCCGAGGGAGGATAACTTACTCTGCTGATCACTACGTTTCCCTAAGAGCCAGCCACTCATACGTACATATAACACCGTGTAGATTTCATAGAATATATAAGTTCTAAATACATAGGAAATGTCATATCGTAAGTTTTAAATTTACTGGGTGGTAATAAATACAAAAATTAAAATATGGCAGTTATCATATTGTGATTTTTGAATTTACTATGTGGTTGTTAATACAAAAATTACAATATGAAAATTGTCATATTTTAATTTTTCTATTTAATACTATTCGGTAAATTCAAAAATTACAAAAAGACAAGAATAAAAACCGTAATACATGTACATGTATGATGGATATTTTACGACAACAAAATCACAGTTTATTCAACAACTGAGCAAATATTTAAAAAATTGAAAAATGGCTCTATATTAAGATTTTTGCCTGGGGAAAGTCTGCTGGAGAGCAGTAAAGTAGCAAAGTCCCATCTACATATGTACGTGGGAGGAAATCCTATTCAATAGAATACCGGTATTGTTAAACAAAAGACAAACAAACATACATACACAAAAACCATAATTTTTTCTTTAAAATGGAAAAATAAAATTAAGACAGTCAACTATCAAACATAATACATAATTAATGTACACAAAATGAAATACAAAATTGAATTATTTTTCTAAACTTTTTTATATATATAAAAATTGACGGTTGATTTATCTGGATCTAGAGATAGCTTTGTTATGCGTATTTCGTATTTACATGTATATGCTTTTTTCTCTGAAGTACGTTTATCACCGTTGTCAGTGCTGTCACGAGTAGACTTTCCAGTGTGAAGTTTCGTTTCCCAAGTTTTGCAACTAACTAGCGGGGGTAAAATATGTTGTGAAGTCCACCTTTATTTGTAAGGTTTTTTGATTCAACATCATTTTACACTGAACAGAAATCGTCTCAATTGCATTGCACCGTATTGTAAATCTTGAGAAAATTGGGGGAAAATCGAAACAGTAAAGAATTTATAGTATGAAGTTGCCTATGACGATTATGACAATTAAATAATATAGGCCCGTAGGAAGCAATTTCGTTTTGAGGGGACACAACCATACATATTTTCAGTTGGGAGGGGGGCACTATCAAGTACCAAAATTCCTTGACAAGCAAAAAAAAAAAGTCATCAGATGTTATCATTGAGGGGGCACAAGCATATAGTAGCTATGTTTTCTACAGTATTCTATATATCGGCAAAATTATTGGGGAGGGGGCAAAACCCCCGTGCCTCCCCCAGTTCCTACGGCCATGTAATAACGAATATACAATCTTAGTACCCTAATTATTTTAACATCAGAACCCCTCTGGTTATCAATCTATATGGCATAGATACGATTATTACCTTTACGTATTTATGTATCAATTTCATTTTAAACTGAGATAACATGACGTGCCTATATTTGAATAATGATCCACCTTCACATGTTATCATCTCTAGTTTTTACGATAGACTCGGAGGTCACATGATATGTTCTTTTTCACATGACTGCGGATGCGATCGGAAGCAAACATGAATTCCATCTGGATTGTCTGTTGTATTCTCATTTCACAAAGTTTAGCTTACAAAACATGTAAGTATATAGTCATTTTTACCTTCTACTTGTCTTAAACAAATAAATTACATGAGAAGAGTTTACAAATTGTTCATTGGAGTGACAAATAAAACGATGGTCTTTCTATAACCTGGTTTGCCATTGAGTGAGGGTTTAGTTAGGGAATCTATGAGAATCTATGAATTTTTTTTTCTGCACATTAAAAAAAAATTTATTGTTTAGTTTAAGGATGTATTCTGCTGATTATGTTAAGGTGTCAGCAATTTTTACGAAACGCCTCTGGTTTTATCCATCAAAATAATCATAATATTTTTACTTATATTTTAACCTCATATCATCTATTCACATTTTGATTCTTTCTTGTTTTTATAGTTTTCTTCAAAAATATAAAGAAAACTTTAATTCCAGATCAAAAGTTTTCAGAGAAAGATTTTTTCCATTCATTATCTATGAAAAATCCCAAGAAGTCTGGTTTCCCGCCATATTTTCAATGCCTTATAGCTCAAAAATATGCTCACTAACTAATATTTTTCACTTTCTTATTTTGTTTCAAATAATGAATATGCCAATATTTAAAAATTAAATGCAAATTATCTCAGCAGAATACATCCTTAAACATACGCTTAAAATTTCAATATCTTTCATTTGGACTTGAGGATAGATCGATCTAATTGCATTAAAAAAAAACCCACGGAATTAGAAGTCTTATGTATTAATATATACATCTAAAGGGTTATTCCTTAAAGGAGTCATGTAGTTATTACAAATTTCAAAAATTTAGTCATCTTTGACATGGCACGGGTTACGACAAGTGATTTCTATTAACAAGAAACATTGTTGATCATCTCCTCTATCAGGACTATCAACTATGAACTCAAAAACTTCGCCTTCCGTTTACTTTTTAGACTACCTTGATGAAAATTGTGACAGAACTCTAGATGTAGACACTTATTTCCGACTTCAGGCATCCAGAAAGTCCAATCTGCAGTCAAACATGAACTGTACTGTGGCCCTTTTCGCCAGATCAGGAAAACTTGGGGGTTCTGCGAGGATCCACGCTCGTTTCCTCAGCATCAACATGCCTTTCTCATCGGCAGTATCAGGGTGTGACAGAGTAAAGCTAGAGCTTCACGATGGAATAAGAAATGCAACTCTACTGACACGTAATACTCAAATTACCCTTTCTTCTTTATAACATGTAGTTTGACATAGTTACCTGAAAAAATTGACTACTTAAACATGTATATTCAAATAAACATCGACTATAAACCAGTGCTAAGTGTTTGGGTCTTGACTAAGAATCATCAAGAAAAATTTGCCTGGCACTTTTAGTACTCTATTAAAAGATAGCTCTCAGTCATGAGGCAAAGGCTCAAGTGAGCTTTTCTGATAATTGTCCGCCTTCCGTCTGTCATCTGTCGTGTCTTGAGTAAACTTTTATATTTTTCATCAACTCCAGAATCATTAGGCCAATTTCATCCAAACTTGCTACATGTACAAAGCATCACTTACGTAAAAATGATTCAAGTTTGTTCAAATATTGCAGGAGACATAATTAAGAAATAATTGCCGCACTTTTGATATTCTCACACTGTGAGAATACCATTTTGATACCCTTTTACCCTGTGCCAGGATATATTTTTTATTCAGTAAATAAATTACAGTATTTCACTGTTGAAAATGTAACAAATAGTGAAAATACTGTTCATTTTAAAATCTCAAGAACAACAGGGCCGGAAAAGTCGAAACTAGCGTGTTAGCTTCCTCATATACAGTGTAGACTCAAATTTTTTACCTTCAAATTATAGCCCCTTGGCTAGGTCGGGGCCGCAATAGAGGATTATCGAAGTTCTTAATTGGAATATATAGGAAACATCTTTAAAATCTTCAAGCTTATACCCAGTAGCTTTTGTACTGTAGATTCAAGTTTGTGCAGAACATAACCTCCAGGCACAGGAGGGGCACAATTGATAGTTTGAATACATCTATGAAGTGTAAAATTAAGAGTGGTCAAATTATGGCCTAAGAACCTAGATTTGAGCTACAATAAGGGGTTAAAGTTTTACTTGATAATATCAGAGACATGATTTATGTTTCTGGTAATATACATGTATAAGAAAAATCTTTTCAAAATCATCCTCTGAAATAAGCAGGTCCACAGATAAGTCATGGACATACAAGCATTCCTAGATAGGCAGTTGTTTTTTTTTTTAATTAATTTTAGTTTTCAGGTTTTTATTGGATTATTATCCATAGGTTTTTTTTAAAGAGGATAATTGAAAATTTTATGTAACTGCAGGCTACGTGTAATTTAAACTCAAATTGATACACAGAAAAACAAAACTCTGAAATAGTAGACGAAACGAAATTAAGACAAAAATCATCTTGAAAAATAGCTGGAAAAAACGGGTCGATTCATTTTAAGCGGATGGGTAGACAACTGCAAACAAACAATATTTCATTTTTAGGCCTACAATATGTGATGATTTAGTTTTGTTCAAAGCATGATTTCAGGGACAAGGTTGGGTCCACGATTGGGGAAGAAAGGTTTACACAGAAATGTATCAATTTGACATTCACAAGCAAGGATGGATTAGGAATCTTTCCGGGGGGGGGGGGTATCTACTCAATAAAATTTAACTCAGATTTTTGGACAAACAAACAACAAAAAACTTTCCAAACGCGAAAAACCTATTTACCGGGGTGGGGTGTGTGACACTTATTAAGGACAAGTCGCTTCAGATTCTTGACTCTTTCCGCTACCTTACCAGTGGTCCATGTTCTCTAGGGGGTCCAAAGTCAGTTTTAGGATACATTAATTTTTAAATTTATTAACTCTAAAAATCCCGAGATGGGGGTTCCAGATTCTGAACACCCCCCCCCCAATCCGCTATTGACATGAACAAGAAGACCACATTATATGAAGCTGATATTAAGCTTCGGTATATGTTAAAATCTTGTTGAAATCTTCAGGGTAATTTGGTGACTACATGTACATAAGGAATTCATTATATAATGTTTTAATTCATTTGTCAAGAAAGTCGTAAGTCATGTGAGCGTTATGACCCATAGACCTCTTGATATAGGTTTCATCTTGATCAGTAAAATTAGCGTATTAAAAAGGAAAAATATTTTGTATACTTTTCTGCAGCTCCCAACGGACTTTGTGGGGACTCCTTTTACAACACATACAGCTACGTCACTGTCAAGGATAGCTATATGACCTTCACTTTGACAACAAACCCTTCACCTCAGACTGGGTCATTTGATGCAATCATCACAAACTTTCATGAAGTTGAAGGAGGTATTACAACTAATTTTTTTTAAAAAATCAGACTACCTATGGTCAAATAATTCTACACCTGATATAACTTTTCCTTGATAATAACACGTCAAATCCTAGGATTTCTTTGTATATGTATTGTGTAAGCTTAGAAAATTGTGATCTTTGAACAAACAGGCAAAAGCATTTAAATGTTGGTCATTTAAAACCGTTTTATTGACACAAAATTCAGAGGAGAAATGTCTAGATAATTGGTGGAAATGTGGAAATGGTCGTTGTGTGGATCCGTCAACCAAATGCAACTCGTTTGATAACTGTGGAGACAACACCGACGAGACATACGAGAAATGTAAACCAACGAGTAAGTCATCGTTTTAGAGTGGTCATTGTCCTTTTAGAAATGGATTGAAACTTGTGTCTGTATAATCCTAAACTGACATATTGTCAATATAATTATGTTCTAAACTTTATCAGTAACAATCACAGAATTTCTTATCTTCAAACTTTCAGTGTATTTTTATGAAAATTGTGGACAAGAGATCCATGTCTATGATGCTGTCCATTTGAAACTGAAACGAAGTGGCAGCATGTTGATACCTAACACTGTGTGTGATAATATCGTGGTGGCCCACGGGAAATCTCAGGGTATTGGTGAGCCTGCGCAAGTTTATGCCCATTTCCGTTCCATCAGCCTTTCACAGCCCGTGTCTGGAAATTGCACCTCGGCTAGAATTGACGTATACGATGGATTACGAAATAAAAAGAGAATATCGGGTAAATGTATTTTCTATAGGCTGAAATAAAATTGTATAATGTTATGGTTTTCCAGCACATGGCCTTTCCTCGTTTGAATTTACTTGATTGCCATCATTCAAAAGCACATTGTACGTCTGTAGGATTTGCGATCAGCCTGACTTTGCTTTTGGTCTTTATTTTTTCAGGAAGTGAAGGATTATGTGGAACTTCCTTAACAAATGCCGACTATACGACCGCAAATGATAATTTTATGCCCATAGAATTCACCACAGATACAACCACACAACAAGGAAATTTTGAAATAACTCTCACTAGTTTTCATACAGGTTAGTATTTCAAAGCCCTTCTTTGATATTAGTGCTGAGGGGGTTAATCGAAAATAAAGATATTCTAACCAAAATGATGTTAGAAAAACACCTTTTTGCTGGGAGCTGGATATCTACTAAGGGCCAGCAACTGAATCGCTCTCTTCCAGTTCCCTTTTCTTCCTATGAAAATCAAAGAAGCGACCCCCACCCCTTTTGCACTTCATCCACCCCTGGATTAGGTGTATGACACAAATGTAGCTTTAAAAAAAATGTACATATGGGTACTCGGTCATTTGACACCTTTTTTAAAACATTTATTACGTTAATATTTTACAGGGGATTGCATATCAGGCGAGTTCCGTTGTGGGAACGGACGGTGTGTGGACACGACAGTACAATGTGACGGTTACCAGAACTGTGGTGACAATAGTGACAATGATAGTGATCTGTGTAAACTCGTCACCGCGCTGGCCACGGGGGCCATAGTTGCCATCGTGTTGTCCGCGATCTTCCTTGTTATATGTGTGCCAATCTGTATAATTGTTTGTTTAGGGAGACGTCGAAGGGGAAATTATTCTGGAATTTAAACTTTTGTATTATAATTTTTTTAAAATTGAACAATACAGCATCTCCATCATAATTTCAAGACAATGTTCATTATATGGTGAAATGAGTGTCTGTGATTAAATGAATTATATAATGTACATGTGGCAACAAATATTGATATTACTGAAACAAAGAAAGTGAATGTTAGTATGTATACAATTTTGTAAAGCGGTCTGGAAAAAAAAAATTCAAAAAAAGTCACATAGATGTCAAGTTTTTACTGCTTTTTGACGCAGCCAACATCAAATAAACTTAAAAATAAAAAAGAATGTGATTTATAGATGCATCACAACCTCCATATGCTCTTTTCTGCCTGCACTACTTTTTCTATATCACATTCCCAGTCTGAAGCCTCATCAACAAACCAATGGCGTGCATCCTTCATCATTTGCTTCCGCGGTAAATCTTCCACGTCTGCCCAATAATTTCGAACAACGTGCAGCTTCCTGTGAAGATTATACTGTATGTCTGCCGTTCGAAAAAGAGGAGCTCCGTACCACCTATCGTCTGCCACAAGGTCGGTGGTGAGCATGTGGTGTTTCACTCGACCGAATCTCTGCCGCACAAGCTGCGAAAAATAGTTCCTTTCATTTTCACCTTCTGAAACGGTATAAATGTCGGGTCTCACGAGTCTTTTTAGTATTTCATCAATCATGACAATATATTGACTCCAAAGCCTTCTAACCTCGGGAACGGCCTTTAAATATGAAAAACCGATGTCTAAGTCAGATGATCTCTTTGAAAACGTAGCGATTACGCTATTTACCTCTTTTCTATTGCTTATTATTGACTCTAAGAGAACAATTGGGTCTTGTAACCACACTGAATCGACTCTAAATAAAAGAACTTTAAGTCCTGCCTCTAGAACTGCTTGCACTGCTTTAGCCAGATATTTGTTGCACCTCAAATGTTTCTCTCTATCTTTGTAATGGACCATTTCAACTTCAATCGAGAACACATGAATAGATGACCATTTTTTGGTCAGTTCTCTTTTCACGACGTCAGAGGAAGTAAGCATAATCACATTTTGGTACAGACCGTAATCAGCAACATTACACAACCAATTGTTTGCAAAAGCTAGACTGTCATTGATCAAAAACGTTAATAAAACTGGTACCTCCGTCGTATCCATCACCATTGCAAGCTCAGAAATCTGTAAGATAATATCTTTTTTCGGTTCAGTTGGAGCACTGGTGACTATCGGCCTCTCAGATGATGAGGATCGTATAATTTCATATTTTGCTGCAAACGGGAATCGCAACAGGATCAGAAAAGCAATAGATGAACATGTCAACAAGATTATCGTGTAAAATATCTTCTTCTGAAGGGCCAAACGTGACCATTTCATTGTGAAGTTTTAGAGAAGGGTTTGTTGCAGTATCATTGAGATCCCAATGTTACTGGATGTTTCCAGCGTTAAATGTCTTTTAGTTTTAACTATATTGATAGCATTCTATATATAGAAGTGCATACCTGTACTTAAATATATGTTAAATCAATATTAGGAAATGTTGGTTAAGTTACAATGTTGACATTTTTGGGTTGGCTTTAGTATTTGAAATCAATTCATTTACTTGTAGTATTCAATTTATCAACTGTTACAACTTATTCACAGAAGAGTTCCTTAAGAGATTCTGGAATCAACAGCCATTTGTTTCTATGAAAGCAATATCTCGTATATATATATATATATATATATATATATATATATATATATATATATATATATATATATATTTTCAATACACAGATTCCAAATACTAGTATATTTTCATAATTAACTCGCAAGGAAATACTTTTTATATGTAGTATCCTCAAATCAACTGGTTGTAACGAATTCTTATTTATTAAGGCGCAAATAAAAGCTGCCACTATGCAGTTGTGTTCTGTAAAGCATTAGAGTAAGATTTCAAAACCAGCGACCACATGCATATCTGGTTATTTTGTGTAGATACACATAACAATGTTTTTATTGAGTGTCTGTGGTGGCGACACTTCATGTTGGAGTAGAGCAAAGGAAAAGAAAGACTGCTAACAGTTTGGAGTGGAGAAACATTCGGCATGTTACATGTCTACACAGAAATCCGGAATCGACAAACAGTCCTGAGAGGACAGTTGACCTAGTTAGTATTCGACTTTCAAGAACGGTACGAACAGAACAGCGTTCAAGATAGCAGCTAGCCAAGCTATTAAGTCACTTGACTATATGAGTTAACACTGTTATGGCTATAGGCTAGCATAAAGTTCAAGATCGTAGCAGCTAGCTAAGCTATATTGAACGCACAATTAAATAAACACTTATGGCCAAGTTAGCATACCGTTCAAGATCGTATAGCAGCTAGTCAGGCTATTGAACGCGCTGCATGAATTAACACTTGTTATGGGTTGGCTAGCATAATGTTCAAGGTCGGAGCACTACGATCTTGAACCAAGCTCAGATAAATAATCACTTGTGAAAAAATGACGTATAAAATTCCATCTACGAGAGCTGCTGCCTCTGCCTTCTGTTGTCTGGTACTGTTCAGTGCTGGATGGTGTCGGTGTTTCTTCTTTCGGTCCTTCGGAAAAAAAATACTGATTAGTATTATACTTGTAATAATAATTCTCCTGTGATCTATTTCGGAAAAGCAAAAATATTATTTTTACTACTTGTGTTTGGTTTGAAAATATTATTTAGTTCGCTTGAAATGATATCTCGCTTGCATGACCTATTATGTTCGAATGTAAAAATCTACAGTTATAATATCGAACGCTGGTGTAAAGAATTAACGGATATAGCGCTCTGATTTTTGGGGTGGGGGGGGGGGTGGTCTCATGTAGCTAAAAATAACGAAAACATCTTTTACAACGAAATTTTAAAAATCTCAAAATTTTAGATATTGAACCGACAATATATTTCATAAATAATAAATATTTATATTTCAAATTCAATTCATTGGAAAACTTTAGTAATACCAGAAAAGTTTTGTATTCAATACTTTATGAACATATTTGGTAATCATACTCGAAGGAGAACGCGTGTATTGCTAATTCGCTGCATATACTTAAACGAATACGTTATACGGATAAAATTAGTTACGGGATTGTTACAACGCACTTTGAAAAATTACGCACTTTGAAATTTTTTTTCAAAGTGCAATTTTGGGACCACGTTAACGCACTTTGAAAAAAAATGTGCACGGCTTGGTCAATATTCTTGCAATTAAATTTTAGGCATGATAAATAATTATTTGAACCTGGTTAGATAATTTTTCGGTGATGACGTCAGGATCTGAGAAAAAGACGTTTTAAAGATTTTTAGGAGTTGTCTTGTTTCCAAAGGTTCTCGTGACTGTTATAAAAGGGAAATGGGTCTTTTAGAAATAATGGAGGAATTATTGTTTAATAGCACAGTTTCGTTTCTTTTTATGCCCCCGTATCGAAGATTCGGGGGTATATAGTTTTTGCCCTGTCAGCCCGTCTGTCTGTTTATCTGTTTGTCCGCAAAAACTTTAACATTGCCCATAACTTTTGATTGGTTGAAGCTATGGCTTTCATATTTCACATGTGTATTCCTTGTGACAAGACCTTTCTTTGGGTACCACCATATTTGACCTTTTGACCTTGACCTTGGAGTTTGACCTAGTTTTACAAAATTTTACCCAACTTTAACATTGGCCATAACTTTTGAACGGTTGGAGCTAGGGCTTTCATACTTTACATGTGTAATTCTTGTGACAAGACCTTCCTTTGGATACCAACAACTTTGACCCTTTGACCTTGACCTTGGAATTTGACCTACTTTTGAAAAACTTTAACATTGGCCATAACTTTTGAACGGTTGGTGCTAGGGCTTTCGTACTTCACATATGTAATCCTTGTGACAAGACCTTCCTTTAGATACCAACAACTTTGACCCTTTGACTTTGACCTTGGAGTTTGACCTACTTTTGAAAAACTTTAACCTTGGTCATCACTTTTGAACAATTGGTGCTAGGACTTTCATACTTCACATATGTAATCTTTGTGACAAGACCTTCATTTGGATACCAACGACTTTGACCTTGACCTTGGAGTTTGACGTACTTTTGAAAAACTTAAACCTTGGTAATAACTTTTGAAAGATTGGTGCTTTATCTTTCATATTTCACCAGTATATTTCTTGTGAGAAGGCCTTTCCTTAGGCACCATTATTTTTTACCATTTGACCTTGGCCTTGTTTGACTTACTTTTGAAAAACTTTACTTTTTTCCATATCTTTCAATGGTTGCTGCTAGGGCTCTCATATTTCACAGGTATATTCCTCGAGACAAGACCTTACTTTGGGTAGCAACATATTTGATTTGCATTTGAGAAAGTATAACCTTTGCTATAAGTTGCCATGCGGGGGCATCAGTGTTTCACAAACACATCTTGTTTTTTTTCTTTTTCAAATTTTATTCAGTCTCTAATAAGTTCGGTAGATGTAGGTGTCGATAAGTGACTTAAAGCATCGCATTTTTATTTCGGGAAAAGGGAGCAATTATGATTTTTCCATACCATGAAAATTCTCTCTCTCTCTCTTATCTATTTTTCTATCATATTCATCTATCTATCTATTGTGAACATATATGTAACAATGGTTGACTTATTGACTTTATTTGATAGTAAGAAAATAAACCTAAGTAGCCACATTACTCACTCGACTGAAATTTTTACCTCGTTCACTAATAACTTTTTCTCAAAAAAGTTATGCAGTCAGATTACTTCTAAATCTGTAATTTGATATCATAAAAACGCTAGACATGTCAAATAGCCTGTTTTAATTAGCATGTAAATGTATTTTTATGCCCCCGTATCGAAGATTCGGGGGTATATAGTTTTTGCCCTGCCCGTGCGTCTGTTTGTTTGCCTGTTTATCTGTTTGTCCGCAAAAACTTTAACATTGCCCATAACTTTTGATTTGTTGGAGCTATGGCTTTCATATTTCACATGTGTATTTCTTGTGACAAGACTTTTCTTTGGGTACCACCATATTTGACCTTTTGACATTGACCTTGGAGTTTGATTTAGTTTTACAAAATTTTACCCAACTTTAACCTTGGCCTTAACTTTTGAACGGTTGGAGCTAGGGCTTTCATACTTCACATGTGTTATCCTTGTGACAAGACTTTCCTTTGGATACCAACAACTTTTACCCTTTGACCTTGGAGTTTGACCTACTTTGAAAAACTTTAACATTAGCCATAACTTTTGAAGGGTTGGTGCTAAGGCTTTCATACTTCACATATGTAATCCTTGTGACAAGACCTTCCTTTGGATACCAACAACTTTGACCCTTTGACCTTGACCTTGGAGTTTGACCTACTTTTAAAAAACTTTAACCTTGGCCATAACTTTTGAACAATTGGTGCTAGGGCTTTCATACTTCACATATGTAATCCTTGTGACAAGTCCTTTCTTTGGATACCAACAACTTTGACCCTTTGACCTTGGAGTTAGACCTACTTTTTGGAAAATTTTAACCTTGGCCATAACTTGTGAACCGTTGGAGCTAGGGCTTTCATACTTCACATATGTAATCCTTGTGACAAGACCTTCCTTTGGATACCAACAACTTTGACCTTGACCTTGGAGTTTGACCTACTTTTGGAAAACTTAAACCTTGGTCATATTTTTTGAACGATTGGTGCTTCAGCTTTCATATTTCAACAGTGTATTTCTTGTGAGAAGGCCTTTCCTTAGGCACCATTATTTTTTACCATTTGACCTTGACCTTGATGTTTGACTTACTTTTGAAGAAACTTTAACCTTTTCCAATGGTTTCTACTAGGACTCTCATATTTCACAGGTATATTCCTCGAGACAAGACCTTACTTTGGGTAGCAACATATTTGATTTGCATTTGAGAAAGTATAACCTTTGCTATAAGTTGCCATGCGGGGGCATCAGTGTTTCACAAACACATCTTGTTTTTTTTTCAGGAAAGCTTATCTCAGTTTTTTCATCTATTTTACGTTGACTCCAATTTATTGAGAGAAATAATATTAATGTCATACCAGTTATGTAAATACATATATTTGTGTAGGAAAGATAGAGAGTTGGGCTGAGGGACTTTCTTCCTGTCTTCTCCTTGTTCTCGATGAGGGTAGATCAATTCATCAGTTTTTCGGAAGAAATATAACAAATTAATGCTGTCTATTATTAAAATCTATGTCAAGAATTTTTGTTTTATACGTATGTTTTCAAAGTGCGTTAAGTGTCTCCATGGTAAAAAAAAATGTTGATGTACACTCTTAACGCACTTTGAAAAAAATTTTCAAAGAGCGTTGATTTTGTCCCAATTTTAACGCACTTTGAAAAAATTTTTCAAGGTGCGTAATTTTTTCAAAGTGCGTTGCCACACGGGATATATAGCAAAGTAAAATTCACAGGTCCACAGGACTTTGCTATAACCGAGTTTTACGGTACATCCTTTTTTTTTTTAATTTGTCAGATCAGGTTATGCAGTGAATGATCTTGGATGGCTTCCGTTTTTATTCGAGAAAAAACACTAACATAACATTTTATTGTGAACTTACTTAGTCTGAATAATTTTCGCTTCTTTTGAGACAGATAGTGGCTTGGATTGTTCCTTAATATCTCTGTATAAAGGAGAAATAATAGAAATATGATATTCATTTGCAGTTCAATTTACATTAAGAATTAAATAGCACTTACCATAAGTAAAATGGTATTTGTTTTTTTTAAATCGCTAATATGAATAAAACAGATTGTATATTGTGGGAATGTCTCAAACCATAACGTAACATTATTAGCAAAATCAAATTGGGAAGTTAAAATGATCTTCACACTTCAAAATTCGGGCACTGTCATCTGCTGAAGGCTATACGAACTACAATAAACTACTACATGTACCTCCTCCCTCCAAATACCCCCCCCCCTTGTTTGCTTGTGAAAATATTTGTAACCCCCTCTCCAACCTACGAAAGCCTATTAGGATCAAACTACGGGAAAAAAAATTTAAAAGGCGTTATAACGCTTTTTCAAAAGGCGTTATAACGCGAAAAAAGGAGTAATAACGCTTTTTGAAAAGGCGTTATAACGCGGAAAAAGGCGTAATAACGCAAATAAAGGCGTAATTACGCCTTTCCAAAAGGCGTAATAAAGCGAAAAAAGGCGTTATTACGCCTTTCCAAAAGGCGTTATTACGCCTTTCTAAAAGGCATTAATACACCTTTCAAAAAGACGTTATTATGCCTTTTGAAGGACCAATATTATGTCTTTGACAGGCTCGTGCTTTTGAAGAGGGGGGGGGGGGCAGCCTCCCATAAAAGCGGCAAGCAAACAAAAAAACAAGAACCCCCCCCCCCCCCGAAAAAAATAAACTGCCTAAACTTGAGGGGAATCTTTTTCTAACTTTTCGGTAAAACTTTTTTTAAATGCAATGATTTGCCCGAGTTTAACCATACTGCAACAAAATGTTAAGGGACCAAGCAATCAATAAATGATTTTTTATATTTAAACTATAGCAAGACTATTCTCCCAAAAAATGGGGTGGGGGAGCCCCCCCCCCTCCCCCCCCACCCACTCGCATTCGTATTACCGGCCTGTTTGAAAAGGAGTTATATCCAAAAATGGAAAGGCGTTATTTTAAAATGATAAATATATGAAAGATTGAACCAAAGCCATCTTTATTTATGCAATATTTAGATTATAGTTTTAATATTATAGTTTTAATATTGTAAATTATATTATAAATTATGGTATTTTCTATATTCCTGCACATCTCGCAGACAGCTGTTTGCATTTTGCATGCATATTAAGAGAAGTCAACACTCTACTTTTGAAAATCCAGGATATAGGCAGAGCCAGCTTTGGGCTTTGCTAGCCACGTATTAAAAATTCATGTCAAATTTGAAATATTTTTCTCTCCTCTTGGGAAAAAACAGGCAAACTATTTGCATAGGTATAACGAGCAATTAGCCTTCAACCAAATTTCTGAAATCAATGCACCTTGGTAGAGGCGTTTGGCATCAGTGAAGGACTAAGTTGGTTTAACACTGAAAATATTTTACACATTTAAAAATCTTTTTTCCTGGAAATCTAATTATAATCAGCCCCCAGGGTGGGCTAAGTAAGTCATGTATTGAAAAAAAGAGGCGTAATAATGCCTTTTGGAAAGGAGTAATAACGCCTTTTGGAAAGGCTTAATAACGCCTTTTGGAAAGGCGTAATAACGCCTTTTAGAAAGGCGTAATAACGCCTTTTAGAAAGGCGTAATAACATCTTTTGGAAAGGCGTAATAACGCCTTTTAGAAAGGCGGAATAACCCCTTTTGGAAAGGCGTAATAACGCCTTTTAAAAAGGCGTAATTACGTCTTTTTTCGCGTTTTAACGCCTTTTGGAAAGGCTTAATCACGCCTTTATTTGCGTTATTACGCCTTTTTTCCGCGTTATAACGCCTTTTCAAAAGGCGATATAACGCCTTTTTTCGCGTTATAACGTTATAACGCCTTTTAAACCTTTTTTTACCGTAGTTTGATCCTAATAGGCTTTCGCACCAACCTCATTCTCATGGGGGGAAAAAATAGACGTCGTTGACGAGACGTACTGTAGCCACACATATCATATATCTATAATAAGGGAAAAGATAAAAAAAAAAAAAACACCTGAACTTCGAACTTATTAGCCATGACAACACCAATAAGTACTTTAGTACCAGGATTTATTAAACACAGTCAAAAAAAATTTGCACATTTTGATTTTGGTATGCATTGCAATGTTGTATCAAAATAAAAGAAAACCGATATACAGAATTATTTGTTTTAGTATAGGCCTAACAGTTAATCTACTTGTGTTCACAGTGTATCAAGTCTTTAAATGAAATAGGATGAATCGCCTGGTTTATATACACAAACGACGTCCGACTTTTTCAAGCGCGAATTATTTTAGGCATTACTAGGACGAGTTGGCTAACGATAATTGATCCGAATTTTCTCAAATGACGAAACCGCGGCAAATCTGAATTAAAGGTTCTAGTAAAATTATGCCATTTCAACGATTTTCTAGATCTAGACGTCAACCTAAATGGATATTCAAGCAAATTTTAGCAGATAATATTTCAAAACGCCCAGCACATCCTGCAAAAATTGTCAAAGTAAGTTAATTAGACAAAACTTCAAAAGCAAACAAGATAAATTAAAGTTAAAGGTATCAGTTTCTCTCAAGCTATAGATGTATCATCTGATGCAAAGTAATGTCTGAGATTTATGTACCTTTGAGGTACAGTAAAACATTTAATGGTTTCTTTTTGTAGCATGTATCAGGACCTTTGGCAGATGGGAGTGTTGTAAAAGAAATCAGTGATTTTGAAGTGTACATCAAAGCAGTCTTTAGTCCAGAGTCTTTGAATGAAATCAGAAGGTGATTTACATATCCACTCAAATAAGATTTTTATCTTAATTACTAATGTGTGTTAATTTCACATGCACAACCTAAACTTTGATATACCTTAGTCCCTAGGTCCTTGAACTTCACTTTTTCCTTATTTTGCTCCTTTTGAATACCATAAAAAATTTCTGTCTTCATGCAACCAAATCCCTGTGAGATCATTCAACCATACCATGTTAAGAGATCATGCATGTATATATTTGCAACATGATACAAGAGAATAAACATCATACTTAATTTATCTATTTAGGTAAGATGAATCAATTACTACATGTATATATGTATATAATGCTAAAAAAGACAACAACTTTACTAAAGGTATCAGTTCAGGAAAATATTCCTCCTAATATCATTTTTTACTTTTAGCTGAAATTGAGGAGTCAAGGTACAATATATACTCTGCAGCAGTAAAAATTTTCTAATTGCTGTTTTTTATAATTCATTTTACAAGACATGTTAAGAATAAGTTAAAGATACAATACTATAGATTCCTTATTTTTGGCAAGTACTTATCGTGAAATGGCTCTTTAATGGCAAATCGCGAGATCAGACAATAATTGGAAGGTTGATCAATAGATTTTACATGGATTTTAATACCATAAAAATAAAAGTGAGTAATTTTATTTTGCTAGTGTTATTTCCCACAAAATTACGCAATAATTAATTCCTCACATATATTTAGGAATCTACAATATATATTCTATCTCTTTTTAGTGAATATGACTCTGAGTTGGACTGGAGTAAAGCTCTGATTATTTTGAACAAGTACACAGTAGAATTCAAGTCTCATGAGGAACTAGTAAGTAATTAATTGATATATTAAATTTATTGGAATTCATTTGTAATTAAGGCAAATGCAATAGCCCTATAGTTATCACTTTTTCTATCTGTCTGCATGGTCTGTCTACATCTGTCAAAATTTTTATGTGACAAAAAGTACTTTTGAATACTTTTCAACCTACTGACATTATATTGCTACACAACCTGAAAATGGGTAGAGAAAGAACATCCGCAAGTATGTTAATGTCACTTGCTCAAGGATCAATATATTAAGATTAATTTCTTTTATCTACACTTTTCATGTTTACTGCATAGTTAATAAGAGAAGAAGACATCTTTTGATTTTGGTGTCACTTAAACAAAGGTTGAGACCAAATAGTCCAATTAAATTATGGATGTACATGTAGAGCTAGATATTAACCAATTCGGTGATACAATTTATAGTGTTTTATTGTTGGTTTGGCATGTTGTTGTTGTTTTTTTAAATTTACGTTACACAGGCAAAAGGTGCTTTGGAGAAGACACTATAGATCTTGTGAACATTCAATCAAACATCAAGATCATCATTGTTTATATCCCCATGAATCTACTCTAATAAGTATAACAACTTGAGCATATTATGGAAATAGACTGCATATTTTAATACTGTACGGTTAAAAGAAACAACCTACAGACAGTTAGGCAGAGTTTGATGCAACTTGGTCAAATGCCAAGGTTAAAAGGGCAAGACTATTGCTCCTATATGACATTGTCAGTTTTTTTTAAGTCTAGATTTGTTATATATGAATGTGCTAAAAAATATGCTAACTGTTATTTAATTATGTTCAGCAATTTTTTTCACCATGATATGCATTTACCCTCAGAAATTGTTAAGTATAGAACAGTTATATAAAACTCTTCCTTTAGCTCAAGATTTTAAATTTCATATAAAACTGCTAGTGGATACCAAAGTTGTTTTCTGTTTGCACAGACACTCAACATTATATTTTCTTATCACAAAAATTAGTGGTATATATCCTAACCCCCTATGTGCAGGGCATTATATTTTTTTTATGATAGTTAACAAAAATGTATGGCAAATACCTGTGTCTGTTTGTTACTCAATGTATCAGCATAAACAACAAATTTTAAGTAAAATTGAATCAGAAAAAGAATTCAATGGTAAATACATGTACTACTGCTATACATGCAACATGACATTTGCTGTTTTCAATTGTTAATGCCATATACTTTGTTTATTTAGAAATTTTGTGAATTCTACATCAGAGTGGAGAAATTCCAAATTTGGGATGTGCAAGAGGGCTTTGATCTGAAAGAAGATGTCAAATTCTGGTAAGCATGGATGCACATATACCTAGCAGTAAATTATCTCATTATAACTCTTATTTTGAAAAAAAAAATTAATAAATAAAAGTTTATGACTTTTAATAAATTCATATATGCTTTGATCATAATGCAGTCAAACCTTGTTATCTCGAACTTCATGGGGCCAAGAAATTACTTAGAGATATCGGAGGATTCGAGATATCCAGGGTAAAATACTTAAAGAAGTAACCGCTTGGGACTTCAAAATCGCTTCGACATATCCATGGTATTCGAGATATCAGTGTTCAAGAGACTGAAGTTCAACTGTACATACAGCAAAACGTGGTTATAGCTAACATGCTTATAATGAATACTTAGTATCATGATTACCTCGTAGTTACATGTATCTAACTTACAGCAGCTCTTTTGTAGGGAAGTCAAGGAAGCTTTACATCTTGCATGATTTTTGGGACATAACACTATTTATCATGTTTATAGTACATGTAGTGACAATCTAATGATTTGAACAATTAGTATGCAAAAAGTACAATGTTTTGCCAAGGACAGGATAGAACTCTAGACAGTAGGTTATCTAATTCAGAATGTTTAGAGTGTTTTGATCACATTACAGTGAAATACTGTACTGTAATCTATTTATTGAATAAAAGTAATATTTTTTTACAGTGTAAAAAAATATCAAAGTGATGTTTTTCCACAGTGTGAAAAAATATATGAAGCATGGCAAAACATGAGATTTTCCTTCCTTGCATGAAGAATGTTATGAAAACTACTCCCTATAACCTGTTATATAAGATAGTGAGAATAAATAAACCATCCTGACAGAAACTAGAACTGCCAAAGTTTCTCCAAAACGTTAAAATCCATGTTTGCAATTTTCAATCTCACAATTGCTTAGCTATGACATCTCAACAGCTTAGCTACAGTGTAAAACATCACAGATGAGAAATTGAGAAACGGCACATTTTTTATTTTGTGTGCAATAAATATACACTTTTTTCAATGGGTGGCATTGTAGCTGTCTGGTCATCCATCCAAATATTTTCAGACCAGTGAGCAACAGATGTGCAGCTTCAAACAACACAGACACTAGACTTAGCAAGATATTGTCAGCTTAGTATCTTGAGAACCATTTGCCTTACAGACATCAAATATGATGCACTGGTACCTTCTAAGAAGGAAATGATCCCTAATTATATTGAGGTCTGATAGAGATCAAACTTAGTATTAAGTTTGCCCCTGACAATTATGTGACCAATTGTTTTCACTATCATTAGACAATCTTTATTCAAAGTAGTTCCACCATTTTTAATATTGCAACATGGAAAGGGGGGGGGGGATATATATGTTTCTCAAACATTTTTTGAGCCATTTAATATCCAGCTGAAAAAAGGTCAAGTTCACATGGCCAATACCATATGCTCTAAGCTTTCAGTTAAAAAGAAATATTGATGTCATGAGTGTACATTTATTTAAAGCTGTATTACCTGTAAAGGTGCTCTTGTTAGGATAACATTGATTAAATGATTTGTCATGTAAGTCTATTCTCATGTGATCTTACACTACACATTTGAACAACTGACATACTTTATTGCAGCATGGACAACACTGCTGTCCAGGAAAGGGCAAAGGTCAAATGGGATGAAATGAGGTAATGAGGCAGTTCTCAGTTGATTGTTTCGCCTGTCAAAGTTAAGAAATTGTAAGAATGTTACACAAAAATGAAAATATGAATGAAGAAAAGTATAAGGACATGCATCCTTAAGAAAAAAAAATAGAAACAATATGTGTAGGTACATGCTCATTGTGTAATGTTTATGCATCTACTATTTAGGTGTATTGGTGGTTATTATACCCCGCGCAGTGAGTTCTGGAGGGTATAATCCATCCGTCAGTCCTTCAGTCAGCCAGTCCTGATCTTGTTACATCTCTCTGAAACTCACCAGAATTTCTTGAAAATTTTTAATATATAAGGACATCATGTGTAGATGTGCATATTTACAGGAAATTCTGATTCAATTTTTTTTTTCTGGGAGATATGCCCCTTTTGAACATGGAAATTTGGTCAAAATATACTACTGGAACAGTTTGTCAGCACAGCTATATCCTCTTAACCACTGAATAGAATTTTGAGAAACTTTGTAGTTAATAAAAACTTATCATACTGTGTAGAAGTGCATATTTGCAGGAAATTCTGATTCATGTTTTTTTCTTGGAGATACGCCCATTTTAAACCTTGAAGTTTGGCCAAACTTAAATATGCTACTACAACAATTTATCTGTGCAACTCCTCTGAAACTGCTGAACAGAATTTCATGAAACTTTGTAATTAATAAGGACATACTGTGTAGATATGTATATTCACAGGAAATTCTTATTCAATTATTTTAATTATTTTTTTGTGAGTAATGCCCATTTTGAATTTAGAAGTTAGGCAAAAACATGCTTTTTTATGCAACTTGTGTGAAAAAGTCAAGCACTTGATTTTATTATAATAAATGATGAAGAGAAGCTTTTCGGAAATGTTTTACTCAGTGTACCCTTGGAGGTTACAAACACATCTAATTCTGATGGGATAAACATCTGTAAAAGGAAAGGGGTGTGTGTTAATTATTTGTTGTATTTAACATGTTTAATGAGTAGCATTCCATTCATTATATGTAACATTGTCAAGAGATGTTTGAGCATGGGGTATGTGAGCTTGCTCACTTTTTCTTTTATTAGTACATACATGTATATTCATAATGCAAGTACTTGTTGCAATGCAGAATATTAATTTAAATTACTTTGCACTACCATTATAATTTAAAACTTTAGCATTGCTGAAAGCATTATATTTTTTAAGATTTAATAGTTTAACTTTATGTTGGTGAGTTTTATCTTGTAGATATCTTTGTCTATTATAGGAGCTGTCATTCTGAGAGTTTTTCTCTGACCCAGTTCCTAGAAGCCATGATACAAAATACTTCAACAATGAGTCAGAGTCAAAAAGGAAGTGATTCTCTGAATACGTTTCCAATTCCAGAGGAATCCCAGAGCTTTCCAGTCAATATTAGTATGCCATTTCTGTTTTAAAATCTGCTTGAAAACAAAAATACTGATAGGCCAAGTGTAAAAATAGATAAGTTAACTAAGTTGAGGTACTTAAAATGTAAGTAAGCTGACAGAAACTTTTATTTGCTCAACCCAAGCAGGGTTTAATTGATCCTTTTGGTACAGGTGTCATCAGGGTCCTGTGCCTTTCAATTCTGAATTTTAAATTAAATGTTGAGAAAAATGGGAAAATATTCATTTGATAACCTAAACATGTTTATTTTGAACTGCTGCATTTTCAACTTCTTCTCAAGAACCACTGGGCCAATTTTAACCAAACTTGGTACAAAGCATCCTTGGATGAAGGGGAGTGTAAATTGTGAAAATGAAGGGCCAAGTCCCCATCAAAGGGGAGATAATCAAGATAATACAAAAATTGGATGGGGTCATTAAAAAATCTTCTTCTCAAGAACCACTGGGCCAGAAAGGCTGAAACTTATGTGGAAGCATCCTGGGGTAGTGTAGATTCTAAATTGTTCAAATCATGACCCCCGGGGGTAGGGCGGGGCCACAATAGGGAATCCAAGTTTTACATTGAAATATATAGTAAAAATCTTTAAAAACTTCTTCTCAAGAACCACTGGGCCCGAGAAGCTGAAACTTATGTGGAAGCATTCTGGGGTAGTGTAGATTCTGAATTGTTCAAATCATGACCCTCAGGGGTAGGGCGGGGCCACAATAGGGAATCCAAGTTTTACATTGAAATATATAGTAAAAATCTTTAAAAATCTTCTTCTCAAGAACCACTGGGCCAGAGAAGCTGAAACTTATGTGGAAGCATTCTGGGGTAGTGTAGATTCTTACTGTTCCAATCATGACCCCTGGGTGTAGGGCCACAATAAGTACTACGGGGGGGGGGGGGGGGGGGGGGGAGAAATCAGGTGAAAAACAGCAAGGCCAAAGTTACTCAGGTGAGCGCTGTGGCCCATGTGCCTCTTGTTTTCACTTGCGAAGATTTATCGTTGCAAACCAATTTTTCACCTAGGTATTCATGTAGAACATTGCCTCGGTCGCCAAAATTAGAAGTCGTGGATGGATTCTAAACAGGAGATTCGCGAATAAAAGATGTAGCGAATGATAATTGGTTTACAGTATATTCATATCTTGATGAAATATTATAATCTGATATAAAAAAGCACTGATGAATTCAATCTGTTTATGATCTGAGAATTTTTACTTTAACGCGGTGGGGGGGGGGGATTTTCAATTAGGATGATTTTTTTGAGGATCCAGTTGTCTGTTTTAACTTTAAAGCAATGTATAGTGGATTGTGTAATAGAATGATATGTGAATTATTACAGATGTCGCTGAAGTAAGTCCAGAGGATAACCTAAAATCCACCTTTAGTCCATGTGAATTTATTATCAGCAACTCCCAGCAAAAAGAACTAGAGAATATAAAAGGTTTGCTGTTCTAAATAGGCTAACTAATGTTCAACTAGAAACTAAATCAACTTATTAATAAGAAATCTTAAATGAATTCTGTCTCATTAAGAAATGAAATTTATGAATATAAGAGACACATGTTCTTGATCATCCTGCAGAGAAGGAGCCATAAACTTTGCAGTCTGATAACAATATAGATTCATGGAGTGCAGTGTGACCAATGCACTATGTATTGATCAGTAAAATAAAATTGTAAAAGTTTAGGTGTTGTTATTGTAAAAAATTTATCAACCAAAAGTAATCATTTTGAAGTACTTGTATATTAGATATGACCCCGACTTGAGTGCTTGTGTTGTCGTGAGATCAGAAACCTAGGGATTGTTTTGTCTGTGGGTATGTCTTTCTTGGAGGAGTTGTACTTTCACAAAAATAGGTTACTTACAGATGACCTGTTTCCTGTACCACACTTCATTAAATAAAAAAAATATTTTCTTTGTAGAATGGGAAGAAAATTACATCCCCGCCCAGTCTGAGAATGAATCCCCACCAATGGACATACCCAGTTATCAGCCCTCACACTCTGTAGACAGTCCTGATGATATACAGCCAGGTCTGGTCGTGTTCTGCATTACTGTACTAAAACCAGCTTTAATAAATGTGCAAGAAATATCTGCAAGTTTTATGACTTTGTTTTACTTGTGAATATTTCTTGCAGAGAACTGTTTATTTTATTGTGATGTTCTGTCGAATTATTGAAAATTAGTCATCGTGAATGGATTTCCAACTGATAAATCATGGGGATGGGGGTGGGAAGTTGTACAGTAAAAAAAGACTCTTTGTTATGTGATACGTTTAAAAGGATAATGTACAAGGGTCCTTAGAAAAGCTCGCAGAGAAATGAATTACGAAAAAAGTGTTGTGTACTTTGAAGAATGACCTATGTTTGATTGAATTCTTATCGTTTGTTTATTAGTATGTAAAAAATCATGTCCATTTGTGAAAAATATTGAAAATGTATAATGATTTTTACTGTGCAGTCATAGGATTCACAGAGCATTCACTTGATGTTTTTTGACACAGAGCGATGTGATAATTTGATTCTTACCCTGTTCAGATTTTTCACAATTCTTAACTTCTAAATATCTTTCAGTTCTCTAGACTCTTCATGTCTTTTTACTACTTAAAAATTGAATAACTATAGCAAGACATGGTACTTTTTTTCCTAAAATGTCTTTTGTAGCGTATCAGATATTAGTGAGATCTTAAAATCAGTGTCTACCCAGTTAAGCGATCAGATATGGGCACATTGCAAAATCCATAGGCGCTAAATGGGGTTTTTTCGTCTCTTTCGGACATTTTCTTGTCTGCAGACTTAATTTTTAGTATCTCTGTGCTCCAAGACGTTCAATGACATTGCAGTTCTTGACTTTGTTTTTATGCATTGATCATCTATAATTAGCAATAAAACAGTCATAACCCCTCCAAATTAATTCAAAATTTTGCCAAATGGCATTTTATGAATATTGTGGCGATAGGTAAAATATCATAAATCTTTATGTGCTACAATGCTGCAATTTTTAATTTCAAAAAAAATGTCTATCTAATGTAAATGAGCGAAAAATTGACATGCTCCAAGGTGCCTGTTTTATTTAAATATTTATAGCTGTGTGTTTCTTAAAGATCATCAAAAACACTAAATCTTTGCATATGTATTGGACAATACGTAGAGTTTTTATCTGCAGAGTTTTTCTGATTTCATGCAAATAGGGCACTCATAATAGAACTTGTCGGTGAACTTTTCGAACAACCCTGAGGCTCGTATATGTACATTATATTTGAAGATAAATTAACAACAATAAAACTAATTTTAGTAAATACGAGCTTAAAGCACTATGCAATTTCAATATCTTAAATCCACTCACATATATCATAAAATATGTACATGTACCATCACATCTAGTTTTATGTTTGTAATTTGCAGGCCAACCAAACCAGGATCGAGAACGGATTACAATAACCACAGATAAAAAGAAGTCTAAAGAAAACAGAATGGCTGACAAGGTAGGAACAGCTTGGATATTAGCATTGAAGGGTTTTAGCTTACCTAATGTATGAACTTAAGTGTGCTTTTCATATACCTGTTGTCCTAGCTGTGTCTGTCTATTTATTGATCCATAATTTTTAAACATGATCTATAGTACTTCTTCTTAAGAACCACAGGGCCAATTCAACCAAATATGGCACAGAGAATCTTTAATAAAGGGGATTCAAAATTGTTCAAAAGAAGAGCATTGCCCCTTACCAAGTGGACATATTCTGAAAAAGGCATGAATAGTGTGGATCATTTAAAAATTCTTTCCTCAAGAACCACTGGGATAGAAAAAACGAAACTTGGCTGAAAGCTTCCCGATATGATATAGATTCTTTGTTGTTCAAGGGGTAAGATAGGGCTGCAATAAGAGAGCAAAATTTAACGTGGGACTATATAGGGAAAATATCTCTTTCTCAAGAGCCACTAGACCAGAAAAGATGAAACTTATGTGAAAGCTTTATATTCTTAGATGTGTTCAATGCTGCACTTGAAGGTGATCTTTCTTAAATTGGTTAATGATAATCGGGAGCACACTTTTTATGAATTTTTTGTTCAGAGGGCAGGTAATTAAGTATTGATCACAACAGTCATGATTTATCACTTAGTGAGTACATCTACATGTATTTTGCAATCTAACCAATGGTCTTAAATGCATGCTTTCCTGTTTATTTGTCCTGATTTCTAACAGTATATAGGCTTTTCTTAGTTATTGTAGAGCATATTTTGAACATGTAAAAATAAAAAAGGGGTAACTGGATGCATATAACTGATATTTGACAACTTCATTTTGTAGGAGACAGTAAAACCAAAGGAGAAGAAACAAGCATTTAAACATGATGTAGAAAATGATCAGTCCATTCAAACAAACAACAGCATGATAAATCCAAATTCAAAAGATAACACAAACCTTAATGGTTCTAAAAATAAAAACAATACAGAGGTCTGCACCAGTCCAAGTGATGCCATTGCTGGAGCTACACAAGAATTTATCCCACAGCTTGGTTATGAAGACATGATTGGTACAGCTCCGTTTTCACCTCACCTGTCTCCTAATAGTACTGGAGGACAGAAAAGCCCTGATAATAATTCAGGCAACAGTGTATTATTTCAAGAAACCTCTCCTATTCTTATCTCTAGCTCCGGTGAGACTAATAAAAGCTCGTCAGAAACCCCTAGCAATAGTGGAAAAGGAAGTGAGGAAAATCCAAAGAATTCCTCTGAGGAGCCTCAGTTTCATCTAGAACCGCCTATTGTAAGTCCTGAGACTCTGGCAGAAAAAAGTCGGGAAAGCCCACGATTGCAATGCATGACTCGATCTGCTAAGAAAACATTTCAGGACCATTTTGAAATGATGATAGAAAGTGAAAGGTTGAAGGATCTAGCAGGTGAAAAACAACCGAGAAGCAGGAAAAGATTACTGGACGAATCTAGTGAGGATGAAACAATGGATAAGAGGAAGAAAATAAGTGATGGTGACCCTACAGTGACGGAGGAGAAAAATAGTGAAAAATCAAATATTGGGAATAATGGGGGCAGGAAAAGTTTTGTATTTAATGTAGTGGATAAGTTACTCAATCTTGTGGGCAGAAGCCCTGATTCAAGTGGTGAAAAAAGTACAAATGTGAATGACGGAAATTCTGTCGATTTAGATGAGAACATTCTAAACTTAACAAATTCATTTTCTGGTGAGCCGTGTGAAGCGTCTCAGTCTTTATTGCAGTCAAGTAAAAAAGTTAACACAGAAGGACTTCCGGAGGGAAAAAAACAAAGTGACTCACCAAAGAAATCCAAAAACTCACCCAGAGTATTAAGTGAGAGAAATATTACTGTGTGTAAAACCATTCAGGATGAAGGCGAGGGTAAGGAGACAGAGGGGGTGATCTTGATCAGTGACAGAAGCACGGAAGGTGACAGTCAGGAAGGTGAGATTTAAATACATTACCGAACCATTGGCTGTGTTCTATTTTACATTATGAAGTAAAGCTATTATATGTAATGATATATAATTATTTTGAGGTAGCATGAGTGTCATGTACTCTGAGGTACAATATAAACATGATAAACTTTTCAATGTTTATCAATTATTTTGATTTGTATGTATGATCCAAAGATGTAAAGGGTCTGCTAAATAAATTTACTCTATACAGGGATATGTTGGCCCTTTCACACTTGCAAACAATTTTGCCCCATTTTAAATTCGCCCAGTTACAGTTCTGTTTAAGAAAATATACTGTATTTTTTGAATTCACCCCATTTTAAATTTGCCCATCTGTGGATAGGGTAAGCGGGGCAAAAATAAAACGGGGGTGAAAATTTTTCGGTATACAGTATGTCTAAAGATCAATTTACATGTATGACAAGGCCTGTATAGGTCTAATAAAAATACAAATGTATTATTGATAACTACAGTTCCACATGTATCATAGCCAAGGTTTAAATGAACAACATTCTGAATATACCCGGTACATTTTTTTGTTTTAAATCTGTATATGGTATTGGTATTTTGTAGCTGGCCAGGAGACTTTACCTGAAAATTCTGACAGGGAGGCAAAAGAACAAGCAAAAATGATAGAACAGGATCAAGGTCAGGCAATCATTAAAGTTAACATAACATTGCTAAAATTGGTAACAATTGGTCTTGGTCAAAGTATCTGCTCCATATACATTGTATAAATTTTCTTTTATTAGAAATCTCATCATCTCTTGGATCGGAGATTCCAGTGGTGGTATGTATAATAATTAGAGGTTTATCACTGAGGTAGTTACAGTCTAAGTATTCTCATGTACTAATTTTATATAACTGACACCAAATCTAAATTGATTTCTAGCTCTACTGGTCAGACACTAGAAGAGCTTATGCATTAGTAAGTTGTCCATCCGTCTCTCTGTAAACAGTTTTTCAAAATGCTACTCCTCCTACAGTTTTGATCCGATTTCAATATTATTTCATGCACAAGTAGGATATTCATGTACTTTGCTAGATTATTCTAGTATTGCTTTTTCATTTTGGAAAACAGTGTTGCCATGGTAATTAAAAAGTCTGAAATTCTTTCAAAATGCTGCTCTTTCCGACATTTTGGTCTGATTGCAATTAGACGTGGTACACAGTAGACTAAACTCATATACATCATCCATTGCCGACATTTTGGTCTGATTGCAATTAGACGTGGTACACAGTAGACTAAACTCATATACATCATCCATTGCATGTTGATTTTTGATTTCAACAAATGGTATTGCCATGGTTACTAAAAATAGAAATCAGTTTGAAAATCTTTCAAAAATGCTACTTTTCCTACAGTTTTGGTCCAGTTTCAATAAGATCTGGTGCACAAGTAGACTATATTCAGATACATCATTCCATACATTGGTTTTTGATTTCGACAAAGAATGTTGCCATTGAGACGAAAAATAGAAATACATGTATCTGTGTAATCCCTCTTCCTACTGTTTAATTCCAATCTCAATAAGACTGTACACAAGTAGACTATACTCAGATAAATAATTCTATTTATTTGGTTTTTAGGTCACCTGAGTCACTCAGGTGACCTATTACAATCTGTTTTCATCCATCATTGTGCCACGTTTGTTGTGTGTTAACATTTCAACATTTTCAACTTCTTCTCTGGAACACTGAAGCTGGAACACAGAAGCAATTTCAACCAATTTTGGCATATAGCATTTATGGGTGAAGGGCAACAAAAATTGTTAATTTTATGCCCCCTGGCATTTAGAAGACAAACTAATTGCATGGTTACAATGAGCATGGGTGTCTCTTCATGGACAGGGATTTTGGAGTTAAGGTCGGGCTGTATTGGTCATAGAGTGAAAATGCATAAATTTGTTATAATTTTTTTTCCCCTCTACTCCTGGATATTTAGCAGACAAACTAAGTGCATGGTTATGATGAGCAAGGGTGTCTCTTCTAAGATTGTGAAATTTGTGGCCCCTTGGACAGGGATTTTGAGTAAGGCTGGGTCTGTATTGGTCATAGAGTGAAAATGCATTAATTCTGTGGAGATCATTTCTGCTCCTAAGTATTTATCAGACAAACTAAGTGCATGATTACAATGAGCAAGGGTGCCTCTTCCAAAATTGTGAAATTCATGGCCCTAGGGACAAGGGTTCATGAGTTAGGTAGGGCTATGGTGGTCATATCATGAAAATGCATGCTTTATATTGACATTAAATATTTATTCAAAGACCAAGAGAGGCCAACATGGTGTGGGGATCCTGCTGGGTGTACTCTGTGAATATTATGTTCTATGCTGAAGCACTTTTGTTTTGTTATGTTTGGTGATAGTGCTAGAGTGTAGATAGCACTGGCATTTACAGACAAGTTGCTCAGTTGTTAATGATTTATGAAACTATTTTTGTATATCCCTGATCATCCATTTTCTTGTTATTGAATTTCAGTGCATGTTGTGTTCTTGTATATTTATTTACCATTCCATAGATCTTAACAGGGTTGTATTATACTCACGTGACCTTGAAGGTCCTTAGGTTCTTGTTGATTTCAACAGATGATGTTACCATGTTTTACTATAAATAGGAATTTCTATGAAATTCTTTCAAAATATTACTCCTCCTACAGTTTTGGTTGGATTTCAATTAGACTTGGTACACAGGTAGACTTAGCTGCAATAATGTAGCCCTCTCCCAATTTTTTTTTTTTTTTTTTTTTTTTTTTTTTTTTTTTTTTTTTTTTTGGGGGGGGGGGGAGAGGGCTACAACTCCTTAGGATCTCCGTAATGGTGCAAGTGCGGGAGTGATTCACTACCGCACAGATTTCGGCTCAAATTATCAGAAAGTGGGTATTTTATTAACATATCTTACCTGAACTCATAAAATGTAGTTATGCAAGACATGAACTGATGCAAAAATATACTGAACAATCCGTATATCGGTTATTTTTCGTGTATGTCAACATTACAACTTGAATTTATGTTTACTGACCTTGATCGATTTTATTTTGGGACAACCAATGAGAATTCGGGATATAGTGGAGCGGATCGTTTAGGATTTCCCTTAATTTAATCATAAATAACACTGTTTATGAAAAAATATCCCATGGAATGCTCTTATTTATCGATGTTTAGTGATATCATACAACACAAACATATATCAACACCGACATTTACTTTATCAAGTGATTATAAATTTCAAGCGCAAGTCTCAGTACATCACGCGAGAACTGTCATGGCTGCTGAGGAAAACGACTTGTAAACACACAGATTTATTTTATTCGGTTTTCGTGTATAAAGGGCTATGATGTTGATAGTGAATAAAAATTCCATCTTATTGGAAGTAAGTTGAATACAAAAACAATTTATTTTGCCTGCAGTCGCCCGTATCTAAAAAATATATTTGCACCATTACGGAGATGCAGTGGAATTGTAGCCCTCTCCTGAAAATATCAGATTAAAAAAAATTGGAGAGGGCTACATTATTGCAGCTAAGGTAGACTGTACTAAGATACATCTTTCTTTATTATAATACACACCAGTAGAGCTACAGTCTCATCAGAGACTTCTGGTTATATTTGAGTTACCAGTACATGTTTATCCCTTATTCAATGATTGTTCTTCAGATTTTAAGATTTCTTTCGAAAGATTTTTTTCTACAAGATGGATTTTTTTTTTCAAAATAAACATGCATAATTTTTTTTTAATTTTTCAGATAGTTCTACCAAGGCAAGCTGAACCACAGGATGAAATTGGACAGAAATTATATCATCTTAAATTACCACCTGACTTAAAGACTAGAGTAATAAATTACTGGAAAAAGTGATTCATAACAGTATTGATATTGTTTATTGTGATTGATTGTTAATAAGATTTTTCAGGCTATGTTCACTTCTTAATCTATATGTACTTATATAAGTATGCCTTTACTTAAAATTACTAATGTTTTCCCTGTCATAGTAATATGTTGCTCACTTGCTTAGATGCATGTAAAGCATCAGCTAACTTTATTGATCAAAGTATGCCAGTTGTCTGTGAACAAAACTGAAAAACTATGTAAACTCATCTCACTAAATAGACTTTTAAATAACTTCCTGACCATTTTTTAAGTTTTTACTTGGTCTGAAATTGAATATCAGGGTATTTTAAGTAGGGAATTTTTTTTGTGTGTGTCTAAAGAAATGAAATAACAAATGTGTCATTGCAGAATTTATTCATGGTGTTTTGCACAGTTATTATCTAGTGCTGGTTAACAAAAAAGGAAAAAAAACTAAGTAAAAACCATAATTTATCTTTAAGGAAAAGCATAATTTTGTAAATTAGGTTCATTATTTCACATCATCTGGCAGCTTCTAGTGTTGGAGAATTTCACCAAGCACAGGTCCATGTGATTAAAAGAAAAAATTACCAGCTACATGTATTTGCACTTAGGAATGTGGAGCCTTCTTGGTTTTTCTGAATATACAAAGTAAAGTCCCTTTTGGCTATGAAGGGAGTGTTTGGTCAAATGAAGCTCCCTAAGGGAAGTAAATTAAAGTAGGTGGAGTTGATTCAAATTTGTTAAAGTGTTTATCTTGATCCTTTTTTGATGACTAGAAATTACAAAACTTTTTTATTGTTATTATTTTCTAACTAAAAGCAGATTTTTAAAAAAGTCCTTAAACCAAGTACTGTATACTAATGCAGTAGAGATCCAGAATTTATATCATGCCCCTATCTTAACATGCATGACTCGATTCCAAAATCGAGATTTCTCTGTTACAGCAGGATGAGTCAAGTGAGCTCTGTGGCCCACATGTTCTCTGTTTTTTTTTTATTAATGTTTTCTTCAGTTTTGTGCATTTATTCTAAATGTTCTTTTTTATGAAAATAGTGTTTATATTTGTTTAAAATATGTTCATTTTGGAGTATTATACATGTAATTGTGTACATGTATAGAGAGTTTGCATTGTTGTAAAATAAATGACCCATATTACAAACACATAGTTTCTGACCTTTTATAAATTTGAAAGGTCTATAAAGTACATATATATCGTTAAATAACCAGATATATTTTGAAGTGATCATCCATTTACAATGTCATATCATTCCAAGAACAAATTTTCTCAAAGTTCTTTGTACATCATTAAAGACAAATGCACGGATACAAACTTTTTTTTTTTCAAAAATCATGAAAATAACAAAAGTCATGTCTATATAAGTATAATGAATAAGTTAACGGCATAGTTTTCTTAATTTTTCATTCAAAGTTTCTCAATAATATACTATAAAATGATAAAAAGTAGTATAGATTTATAAGGATAATTATAGAAAAGTAATGTTGAACATCATAGAAAGTTTACAATTTCTTAATATTTTAGACATTTGATATCTGCATCATTTACAACTAAAATAGGTCCAAAAATATATATCAATCCAGGCATCCATTTATTTTGTTTGTCTGTCCTTAACTTTTGACATTTTCCTCTTACCCCTTAAAACTTTTTAAAATTATGAGACTGGGTAATCAAATGGTACTGCAAATTCGACTGGGTCAGTTCTGTAACTGTCGTACAACAACGAGTGCAAATAAGAGAAAGTTGATCCAGCCTACAGTGTGACAACGGAGGTCCAGCATCTCATCGACATTTCCAACTATCACCAGTGGTCAAATGTTTCGATTACAGTATCTTTTTTTTGGTCCACTCAGTAAAACATTGGAAATGTTAATTTTTATTTTAGTATAGATTTATATAGAAAAACAATACATGTATAACAATATACATTTATTGACTGGGTTCGAGGGCAACATGCGTTTTGTCGGACCCAATAACCAAACGAAGGCAAACAGTTTGGTTAGAGGGGTCGAAAAACTCATTTTGCCCAAGAACCCAAGTCAATAAATGTTTCGTTTTACCTTTTATTTTTTGACAAACATTTATTATGTGCTGGCTTTTATGATGTAAATTTCAATGTTAATTCTTTCACTGTCGAACACCAATAAATGCAAATAAGATTTAGCAGATTCCGCCCACAGTGTGACGTAAGCAGTCCAATATCTCATTGACAGGTTCAATATCTCACTCCCCAGTTAAACCTCAATTTTTTTTATGACTGCTCAGTGAAATATTGGAAATATAAAATATAATAATAGACTTTTTTGTTTACCCCACTTTCGCAAAAGCGAGGTGACATTAAATCTCATTTGTTACTCTGTCCATCTGTCAGTCTGTCCTTCTGTCAGACTGAGTCTGTCTGTCACCAAAACTTTAACCTTGGTCATAACTTTTGAATGAGAAGAGATTGGGCTTTCATATTTCACATGTATACTACCTGTGACAAGACTTTTCTAAATATACTATGAATTTTGACCCCGTGACCTTGACATTTGACCTATTTTTCAAAAATTTTAACTTTACATTAAATTGGTAATAACTTTTGAATGAGAAGAGATGAGGCTTTCATATTATATATTTATATTACTTGTGACAAGACCTTTCCATATATACTAGGATTTTTTATTCTGTGACCTTGACCTTGAAGTTTTACCTACCGGTACTTTTCAAAAATTTACTTGTACCTTTTGAGTGAGAAGAGATAGGGCTTTCATATTTGACCATTATTTGTGACAAGACCTTTCCAAACATACTATGGTTTTTGACCCCGTGACCTTGACCCCGAAGTTTGACCTACTTTTTGAAATTTATATCTTTACTTATAACTTTTGATTGAGAATAGATAGGGCTTTCATATACGACATGTGCATTACCAGTGAGAAGGTGTTTCTGAGCATGCTATGATTTTTGACCCCTTGACCTGGACCTTCATGTTTGACCTAATTTTCAAAACTTTTAACTTTGGTGATTTCTTTTGAATGACGTATGATAGGGCTTTCATATTTGACAATATGCCAGAAATAATGGCATCCCATCCTCTAAGACACCAAAAGCAGGGGACCACAATTCTTTGAAATTGCTTGTTTAGTATAGTTTTACATAGGAACCAATTTTTAAAGGTATAACAATAGATTTTATTGCCTTCAAGAGGAGGTGTCACAAATTTTCATAATTAACAAAACATTCCTGTTTTAATGGAGTTCATTTTCTCATAACAGTAACAACATCCATCTGCCTATTGGATGGTTTAAAAATGAGAATATTTTTTTTCAAATTCTGGTTTCTCCATTTTGTTAAACTTGATATATTATTTAAAATAATTGCTTACACTGTTAAAGCCTAAATATATTTTACTTCAATTTACTGTGTAAAGTATTGCACAATGGAAATCCCTGTCGGCCCCCTTACAAAAGTATAATACTGTATATAACTACCTTGACATTGACCTGCAAGTCTGCCTCATTGTCTTGTTACCTTGCTTTTGTTTTACTTAGGGAAAAGACTGTGATAATAGCCATTTGAAAATGCTGGTAAACTATAATACATTTTATACACTCATACAGAATTTACAAAACATTTTATTTGTATAATTCTACATTAACACTTGTGACATCATCAGTTACTCGTTCTAAGATCACAGTGCCACCATTAAAGATTGTCTCGTTTGTTAAAAGAGTGTCAATATTTTGATCAATAGGTAACAGGGATCCATCATCAAAAGAAAACAGTCGTAGTTTCTGAAAAATAAAATGAATTCCAATAATTTGTATCTAACTAGAAATACAAAATCCTGCTTCATTTCAGTTGAAAACACCCTTAGTTAATTTCTTGAATTGGTAAACTAATTTATATAAAAAGGCTGTTCAAATACATCGTCCAATTGAGCTGAATCTACCTGACTGTACATTTGAGAATGCACAAACATAGGTATTCAAAGATTACGAAGCTCACCTCGACGAATGTTATCTATAAGTAAGGCAAATCTCACATCATATTTTTTTCCTAGTTAGTGTACATCCCAAGATCAATATTCATCAATATCAGATTCAGAATCCGAAGCAAGTCTGGAAGTGTCCATCCCTAGATACATCATCATCATTCATGCTAATTTGGTTAAAATATGGCTAAAATTCACTCATGTGGAAAATCTAGGTCAGATCCAGAATCCGAAGCAGGTTAGTTAGTGAAAATCCCTACATGCATCATCCATACAAGTTTGGTCCAGGTAGGGCTCATAGTTACTTGGCAATGAACCTGCTTCAAAAATTTTCACCTAGTCATTCACCTGGAAAATCTAGGTCAGATCCAGCATCTGAAGCAAGTGTGGTAGTGTCTATCCCTAGATGTATCATCCATGCAAATTTGGTCCAGGTAGTGCTTATAGTTCCTTGGCAATGGACCTGCTCCAAAAACTTCAACCTGGTCACTCATCATGAAAATCTAGATCAGACCCAGCATCCGAAACAAGTATGGTAGTGTCCATCCCTAAATGCATCATCCATGCAAGTTTGGTCCTGGTAGGGCTTAACGTTAAGTACCTGCTCCAAAAACTTTAAACTTGTCACTCATCTGGAAAATGTATGTCATATCGAGCATCTGAAGCAAGTGTGGTAGTGTCAATCCCTATATGCATCATACATGCAAGTTTGGTCATGGTAAGGCTTATAATTACTTGGGAATGGACCTGTGCCAAACACTTCAACGTGGTCACTCATCTGGAAAATCTAGGTCAAATCCAGAATCTGAAGCAAGTGTGGTAGTGTCCATCCCTAGATGTATCATCCATGCAAGTTTGGTCAAGGTAGGGCTTATGGTTAGGTACCTGCTCCAAAACCTTTAACATGGTCACTCATCTGGAAAATCTAGGTCAGATCCAGAATCTGAAGCAAGTGTGGTAGTGTCCATCCCTAGATGCATCATCCATGCAAGTTTGGTCAAGGTGGGGCTTATAGTTCCTTAACAATGGACCTGCTTCAAAAACTTTAACGTGGTCACTCATCTGGAAAATCTAGGTCAGATCCAGCATCTGAAGCAAGTGTGGTAGTGTCCTTCCCTAGATG